GGAATAAAAGGGAGGGGGTGGTGAGAAAGAGGGGGAAAGTGTTTTAGTTTTTATAAGTGTTTTACGGAACTTGCAACACTGTAAGGTCATATGAGTGCCGAAGATTAGAGATGTAACAAGAGAGTAAAAAACATAAAAAAGAAGGGAGTGTTTATTATTAAGGCCACACATGGCCTAAATAAGGTCAACCCCCTCACCTTACATTATTTAGGCCACCTGTGGCCTAGATAAGGTCCCCCCCCCCAGAACCTTATTTAGGCCACATATATGCTCAAACTACTCTTTTCACACAACTGAGTTCGTTCCACTTTCATAATGGTGCACCTTTCTCTTTTAGTACAGTTTTGTCTCAGTGTACAACTTATAAATCATAATCATAATGAAAATTGGAAGAACAAAGCACAATACGCAAAGTTTTGCTCAATCCCAATGGTTTGAAAGAGGGCCAGATTTTTCCTTTATGGAGGGGCAAAAGCTAGGCTACCATTTTGGCACACTTTGGTCAAGTGAAAAGGTCAAATCGTCCAACAACAAAAACAACAACCACAACAACAACAACAACAACAACCACAACAACAACAACAACAACAACGACAGCAACAACAGGACTGTGTGAAACTACTCACCTTTTTCAACTGTTCCTCTGTGGCACTGACTCTGTCTGCGAGTGTGGCAATTGTGCCGCATGATACACATACTGAGGAAGACAGAGATGATGGTGGCGGTGGTGGTGGTGATGATGATGGTGGTGGTGATGATGATGATGAGGTGGTGGTGATGATGACAGAGAGGATGATGGTGGTGTTGGTGGTTGCCGTTTTTGTTGTTGTTGTTGTTGTTGTTGTTGTTGTTGTCGTTGTTGTTGTTGTTGGTGGTGGTGGTGTGGTGGTGGTGGTGGTGGTTTTCGGTGGTATTAATGATGGTGGTGATGAGGACGATGATGATGATGAAGAGGAGGTGGAGGAGGAGGAGGGTTAGAGTTCAATTGTCTTTATTTGAAATTGAAAGGTCTCACGACTTAGAAATAACTTACTTTTTATTACAACTACAGAAAAAAGCAAAAAGTACATAATACGTTTAAAAACTAAAACGGCAAAGTGACTGAACATTAACAGAAGCAGCAGCAGCAGCAACAACAACAACAACAACAACAACAACAACAACAACAACAACAACAACAACAACAAAACAACCTCTCCTGTGCAGACAGTGCTGAGACAGCAGTGGTTTGTGTGAGTCTGAAAGCCTTTGGGTGGAAGATATGAAGATTTTTTCACAGC